CCAAGGATCTTCATGGTGATATGACGCAGACATTGGGAGATCAATGCCCTTCATATTCTATAGTTAAGAACTGGGTTGCTAAATTTAAAACGGGCCACTTCAGCACCAATGATGAGGAACGTCCTGGACGACCGAGAGTGGTTGTTGTTCTGGAGATCCCCGATGCTGTGCACAACCTCATACTGGAGAATCGGTGAATTCCAGCTAAAGGAATAGCAGATTTCTCATGAATGTATTTGTGTCATTATCCATGAACATTTGAACATGAAGAAGCTCCCTGCAAAGTGAGTCCCCAAATGTTTGACAACAGATCAGAAAAGTATGCAAGTGAAAACTTTCCAGTCCGTTTGCCAGCGTTTCCAGACTGATAAGGACTTCCTGGATTGACTGGTCACAATGGATGATGGCTGAAAGCGAGGAGGAGCTGAGAAGCCTTCTAATCAAGGTGAAAGAAGAAAGCGCAAAAGCCGGGTTGCAGTTAAACATAAAAAAACCCCCAAGATTATGGCAACAAGAATGATTGACAACTGGAAAATAGAGGGAGAAAATGTGGAGGCCGTGACAGACTTTGTATTTCTAGGTGCAAAGATTACTGCAGATGCAGACTGCAGCCAGGAAATCAGGAGACACGCTTACTTGGAAGGAGAGTGTGACGGCGCGAGTGGCACCACCTGTGTGTAGAACTGTTAGTTGCAAGATTTAAACTGTTGTATCATGCTTAATCCTGCCCTTTTACCCTGCTTATGTATAGTTGTATGGATTGGTTACTTATAGCTTTCAATCAGTACTGTTTGGCTCCACCTCTTCCTGCAGGAGGGGAGTGCTTCCTTTCTTTTCATTCTGCCATCAGAGTTTCTACCACATGGATGTGAGTAAGAGACTTGACTCTAAAAGACCCTGATTTAATTACCTCTCAGCACCAGTTATGAGGTTTTTTACCCTTGAGACTTATGCTTCATGTTCAGACCAACCTGAATGACTTTGGAAGTCTCAAGTGCCTTCAAACCAGTTCTTTTGGCACCAGAGGAAGATCCTGAGTCTTCAAACATAGGCCATTTGAACTGGGGTTGTGGTTTGCTCCGGCATTCACAGCCATTGAGGAAAGAGGAAACTCAGGAAAAGCTACTCAGCTTCAAACTCCTTGGATCCAGGACTAACTGAGACTGTAACATATATTTTCCTTCACCCCTCTGAAGTTTCCAGCTCATTGCTTTAAAGAAATAACTTTGCGATCAATAAATATTTTGAGTTATTTACAGCGTTTTGGGTTTTTGAGAGTTCCTGTTTCCTATAGGAGGGCAAGAAGCAATCCCCTGGGGAAAGATGCCACGTCCATCCCTCCTTCATTAAGAATTATAGCCCCCAGGCACAATGGCACAGAGAGCAATGTCCAATCTTGATAAAATAGTGAAGAGTAGGGACTGGCAACGAAGATTCGCATAGTAAAAGCAATGGTATTCCCCATAGTCACCTAAAGACGTGAAAGCTGGACCTTAGGGAAGGCTGAGTGAAGGAAGATAGATGCTTTTGAACTGGGGTGTTGGAGGAAAGTTCTGAGAGTGCCTTGGACCACGAGAACATCCAACCAGTCCATACTTCAGGAAATAAAGCCCGACTACTCATTGGAGGGAAGGATAGTAGAGGCCAAGATGAAGTACTTTGGCCACATCATGAGAAGACAGGAAAGCTTAGAGAAGACAACGATGCTGGGGGAAATGAAAGGGAAAAGGAAGAGGGGCTGACCAAGGGCAAGATAGATGGATGCGATCCTTGAAGTGACTGACTTGACCTTGAAGGAGCTAGGGGTGGTGACGGCCGACAGGGAGCTCTGGCGTGTGCTGGTCCATGAGGTCACGAAGAGTCAGAAACGACTGAACGAATGAACAACAACAATGGATGAGACCTGGATTAATTTGTATCACTCTGAAATCAAGGAGCAATCAAAAGAGTGGAGGCACCATAGGTCTCCTCATCCAAAGAAATTCAGGGTGCAAACATCAGCCACTAAAGTGATGGCGTCTTTGTTTTCGGACAAGGAGGGCATGCTGCTAGTGGACTACCTTCAAAACGGTTCCACCATCAATGCAAGGTATTACACTGAACTTTTGGACCAGTTGAAGGCAGTTCTGAAGGTCATAAGGCATGGAAAGTAGGCCTGGGCGGTTTCGTTCGTTAATTTTGTAATTCGTTAAATATTCGTTATTTTTAACAATTACAAAACGATTACAAAACATATTTTCAAACCCGGAAGTGTTTTTAAATATCGAAACGGCATCCTCCATCTTTTTTACGGGCTTCCGCCCGTTTCGGAAATGACGTTTTAGGGATGGAGGATGCTGGGTGCGCTGGGAGCCAATCCGGCGCTCCCAAGCACCGTGGCTGATTGTGATTGGGCGGGCTGCCCTTTAAAAGCGGCTCCGCGTGGCCGCATTGCTCATTGCTGGGGAAGGCGAGGAGACGGGAGGTTCTGGAGGGAGGCTTGGCTTGCATTCATTCATTGCTTGCATTCATTCATTCCCTGGGCTGGGAGCAGCGGGGAGGCTTTGCCTTTGCCCTGTTTTCGCCCTATTTTTCCATTTTTAAATATTTCTGAAAAATATCTTTCTTTTATTCTTAAAAAAATTCAAAAAATATTCTAAAAAAAGAAAAGACCCTTGTGTGCCTGTGTGTGTGAGTTTGTCCCTGTCCTGTGGCTGTGTTCGCTCCACAACAGGGCAAGCATTGTTAATTTTCCATTTTTAAATATTTCTGATAAATATTTCTTTTTTAACGAATCGATTCGTTATCACCTTAACGAATCGACCCCCGTCTTAATAACGAAGTTTCGGAAGTGATTTGCGCATGCGCGGGGGGTCCGCCATCTTAACGAATCGATTCGTTAATATTAACGAAATTTCGTAAATACTGAACTTTTTAAAGGGAAAGTTTTGTAATTATTTTAAATATCGAAACGCAAACCCCCCCCAAATACAAATCGATTTTAGAAACAAATTTTTGCGTTGTTACCCAGGCCTCCAACGGAGAAACAAAAGTTCCTGCAAGACAATGCTCACACTGCACAAGCAACCATGGCAAAACTGGTAGAGCTAGGCTTCCAGCTGGTTGACCACCCACCTTATTCACTGGATCTAGCTCCCTCTGATTATTATGTTTCCAAACCTGAAGAAACGTTTCAAGGGTGCCAAATTTCACACCATTTCTGATGCCATGGCTGCTGCGGATGACTGGTTTGAGGCACAACCAAAATCCTTCTTTTTGCAAGGCTTAAAGATCTTGGAATACCGATGCAAGAAGTGTGTTGATATCAGTGGAGACTAGGCTTGATCGATTTTGTTCAGAAGCTTCTAAAATCGGAATAAATTCGGATTAAATTGACTTTTGAAACAATTTCGAGCCATGCTGGAATAGTGTGAGGAGTAATTACGAATTGAAACAATTTACCCATTTTTCGGAATTATTTTCATATGTCTGGTGCAAACTTTACAATCTCGCAGTTTCCCTGGCCTCCCTGGCGATGCGGAAGGGCGAGGTGGGCGTGGCTACACCCAGTTCTTCCTGAAGGCCACGCCCCCAGTGGCCGTCAAGAAGAGCTGGCCATGTGTTTATCATGAAGAAGAGAAGGCTGAGAGGAGACATGATACCCATGTATAAATATGTGAGAGGAAGTCACAGGGAGGAGGGAGCGAACTTGTTTTCTTTTGCCCTGGAGACTAGGATGTCAGATGGCGGGGGGGGGGAAAGGGGGGGAAAGGGAGGAGGGAGGAAGAGGGGGGAGTAAGCTTGGGAACAATGGCTTCAAACTACAAGAGAGGAGATTCCATCTGAACATGAGGAAGAACTTCCTGACTGTGAGAGCTGTTCAGCAGTGGAACTCTCTGCCCCGGAGTGTGGTGGAGGCTCCTTCTTTGGAAGCTTTTAAACAGAGGCTGGATGGCCATCTGTCAGAGGTTCTTTGAATGCAATATTCCTGCTTCTTGGCAGGGGGTTGGACTGGATGGCCCATGAGGTCTCTTCCAACTCTTGGATTCTGTGATTCTATGATTCTATGATTCTATGATTCTATGATTCCCCTGCCATCCATCGCCGTTCGCAGTCGCCCAGGGAAGGGAAACTGTGAGATTAGTTTTAAAATCTCGCAGTTTCCCTTCCTGGGGTGACTGCGAAGGGCGATGGATGGCAGGGGAATGAGGTGGGCGTGGCTAAAAAGAGCTGTTCCTGAAGGCCACGCCCCCAGTGGCCTTCAGGAACAGCTGTTCTTACCCATGTCCAACCTCGTCCTTATTTGCATCGCCGGGTGTGCAAAGCCGCCCATGCAAAGAGGAAGGAGGTGGGCATGGGTTAGGGTTAGTTTTAAAATCTCGCAGTTTCCCTTCTCGGGGTGTCTGCAAATGGCGATGGAGGTGGGCGTGGCTACGCCCAGCTCTTCTTGACGGCACTGGGGGCGTGGCCTTCAGGAAGAGCTGGGTTTACCCACGCCCACCTCGCTCTTCTGCATTGCCACTTGTCGCCAGGGAGGCCACGAGAAGATCCAACCAGTCCAGATTTTAAACTAACAGGGGGGAGGGGCACCTTCCATTAACGAAGTAAACGAAGCTATTCAGATTTTTGCTATTTTCGATCTTTTTTTCAAGAAAAGTTCAGAAATAATTTTAAAATCGAAACGCCAGTGTCCCCTATATACGAAACGAGTTTAGAACCATTTTTTTCTTGATCAACCAAGCCTAGTGGAGACTATGTGGACTAAATGTAAAGTTTCATCTTCCTATCTCATTTCTTTCTCGGTAAAGCCAAAGACTTATCAGCAGCCCCTCGTAAAAATGCAACTGCAAGGACTCCATAACATTGAGCCATGATTATTAAAGTGGTATCAAATTGCATTAATTTTGCCCTCCTAAACCTGATATTGACCATGTCCCAGCAATGGTAGAGCTGACCCTCTTTTGGTCGAGGGCATGGAATTAGGCTTGCAATCTTGAGTTGGAACAAAAGCAAAAAACCAGTTTTATCATGCAGAATCAGTTTTATTAAAGACTGAAAGTAGTCCAATTTGGGATGAAAACAAATCACAAAGAACGTGGGTGAATAAACAGCTTTTCCACCACATGGTTACAGTTATGACATTGTCTCCAATTTACTCATTGAACATAGGGAGATACATTCACAGGATAGATTCAAGGATGCTATGCTTTTTGTTTTGTTTAGCCGAGGAGTGGCAAGTAAATAAACAGTAGGAACTTATAGACTGAAAGCAGAAGGGTGAAAAGATAGGTGGGCCTCATTCTCATAGATGCCAAACACTGTCCCGGCTCCCATGGACTTCATCCAGAAAGTAGGTGCGCGACACAGCTAAACCAAAGAAGGCCTGATCCGTTGTTACGTTTTCTGGGCCAAAAGTCCATGAGAATTTACACGCAGGGGGCACAGATGTTGCCTCTTCTTCCCTGTAATCCGGAATGGCTCCCAAGAAACCCACCCAAATGCCCACCTTGGTATCCACTACCTAATCCACTGCCAAATCCACTACCTAATCCATTACCAAACCCACTGATGCCGACGCCACCAACAGCACAGGGGGCATATCCTCCAACTTGAATAGGGTCAGGGGTGGCAACGAGGATGGGGCCTGGGACGGTGAGCACAAATGGGGGTGGGTTGATGACAACTTCTGATGCGGGGAGCTGGTTGATGCAAGATGGCTGCACTCCGGAGAGGACTCCCAAACTGGCGGCATCTGCAATGTTGCCCCCAAAGCCATAACCAGAGCCGATTCCATTGCCGAAGCCGAAGGTAGAGCCAAGACCATAGCTTCTTCCAAATCCTCGGGAGCCTCCGGATCCAAAGGCAACGGATGGAGTGGCTTCACAAGATGGGACAGCAGAGGCAGGTCCACAGTTGGCCATGGTGTTGAGTGATGGAGTTGAGTCTGGAAGGACAAGAGAGGGATCATGGAAGATACCAAAAGCTCATCAAGCTGAGTCTACTTACCCCACCACCACCAAACTACTACTCCAGCTTCCTAAAAGAAGAACTCTTCCATTGAGTTAGAGACATACGAGCTGCAGTTAGATGGAAACATGATGTTGGTTTGGTGCATCACAACATCTCCAAAGATTCAAAGACCAAGAAAGTTAGATCATTGAGTTAGATCAATCTTAGAGACATACGAGCTGCAGTATGATGGAAACATGATGTTGGTTTGGTGCATCACAACATCTCCAAAGATTCAAAGACCAAGAAAGGTTCTATAGGAAGTCTTCTTCAGACATATACAACACAAATACATGTAGAATCCTTGAGATATTAGTAGAATCATTTCACCCCAACTTGAGATGACTTACTGAGTCTTATTTAGTTACGAGTTGTCTTTCACTTCCAACTTAATTTAGTGAGTCTGCTTCAGTTGAGACTAAGCAATAGGATTTAGATCTTGGAGTCTTATTTAGTTACGAGTTGTCCTTCCATTCCAACTTAATTTAGTGAATCTGCCTCAGTTGGGACTAAGCAATAGGATTTAGATCTCAGAACATTAAGCTAACATAATAAAATACTACAAGAAGACACAGATTTAAGTGCAGTGAATAAGCCATGCTTACCAGTACCTTGAATGAGTAGAAGACAAGCGATGAAGCTGATGAAGGACTGTGAAGAGGCAAGGGCTTTTATACTGTTTTGGCGAGGTCCTTCAGGGCTGAGTGACATCCCGTTACAATTAAGCTCTTAATGAACGACGCTCCGAAATCACCTACAAAATTACTTTAATGACTCCAGAGTAATCAGAGCCCAAACTTGTGCTGCCATCAGCTCCTTACAAGGGAGGACAAAGAGATAGTGCAGAATCATTTCCTTTCGTCTTGTCTATCCTGTGTGGATTTTCATTCAGGCTTATCCTCCTCTTTCCATTGACTTGAATAGGTTGATGGAAGGAGGACAACAAGTGAATATTTTTGTATGTTCTGTCAAGTTGCCTGTTGACTTATGATGACCCCATCCATAGATCGGGCTTGGGCAAACTTCGGCCCTCCAGGAGTTTTGGTCTTCAACTCCCACCATTCCTAACAGCCTACTAATTCCATCTTTCACCCCAGGACCAAAACTTGGGATGTTGGCTTTTGTTATCTACTATGGCCAGAAGATGTTACTTTTCTGTAATTTTGATAACTCTTCAGTATGTATAGTTAGTAACCAAGTTGTAGTCCCACCACCCTCACAGGTACATTTGGTGGGAACGTGGAAAGAGGGCTTCTTGTTGGATGCTCCCAGGCTCCTCCTCTTAAGGAGAAAGACTTCTCCAGGTGAAGGCCATCTTTTACTTCAACAGTTCTTTGTAGTTCTCAACCTGTAGTTCTCAACCTGTGGGTCCCTAGATGTTTTGGATTTCCACTCCTAGAAATCCTGACAATTGGTAAACTGGCTGGGATTTCTAGGAGTTGTGGGTCAAAACACCTGGGGACCCACAGGTTGAGAACCACTGTTGTAGACTGATGGCTCAAGGAAAAGGAACTTATGTAATGTAGTATATTCTGTGTTGTCTTTACATAACTTTTTTTCAATTGATTGGACAGTCTCCAGATCTGACCACCCATGTTAAAATCCAGAAACAGAGACTTCTAAGGGACCCTGATGTTATTCTTCATTGGACCATTTCTGTCTGATGGGAGGTTGATGGACACATCATCCTTCAATGTCAACCAGAACTCTATCCATAGCTGGATTTTAAGGTGGGTTCCACAATCATAAATGAGAAAACCGAAGGATGTCATAAGCATGAATTATGAGTTCATAACCGTCTAACAAGGTGTCAGGATACATTTTAATTGGTTGGAATATTATTGGTAGTTATGACATTTTGGAGGTTGATGGAGACATCATTCTTCAGTGTCAATCATCAGCCAGAACTCTATCCGTAGCTGGATTTTAAGGTGGGTTCCACAATAATAAATGAGAAAACCGAAGGATGTCATAAGCATGAATTATGAGTTCATAACCGTCTAACAAGGTGTCAGGATATTGGTTGGAATATTGTTGGTAGTTATGACATTTTGGAGGTTGATGGACACATCATTCTTCAGTGTCAACCATCAGCCAGAACTCTATCCCTGGCTGGATTTTTTTTGGTGGGTTCCACAATCATAAATGAGAAAATGGAAGGATGTCGTAAGCATAGAGTACAAGTTCATAACCGTCTAACAAGGTGTCAGGATATATTTTAATTGGTTGGAACATTATCAGTAGTTATGACATTTTCAACTTTTGTATGAAATCAATTATGAGCTTTGTTGTTTATTCGTTCAGTCATTTCCGACTCTTCGTGACCTCATGTATCAGTCCATGCCAGAGCTCCTTGTCAGTCGTCACCACTCCAGCTCCTTCAAGGTCAAGCCAGTCACTTCAAGGATAACATCCATCTACAAATAAATATCATTGTCATTATCTTCACCATCACCACCATCATCATATTGACCTAACTTGGCAGCCACCTCTCCACAAATGTCAACATTGACACTGGAATACAACACCGCCTGAGCTCTGTGAGTGCAGCTTTTTTCTGAATGAAGCAGAGAGTGTTTGAGGACCCGGACATCCGTAGGGAGACCAAGGTGCTTGTTTATAAAGCTATTGTCCTCCCAACCCTGCTATACGCCTGCGAGATGTGGACAGTCTACAGCAGTGGTTCTCAACCTGGGGTCCCCAGATGTTTTTGGCCTACAACTCCCAGAAATCCCAGCCAGTTTACCAGCTGTTAGGATTTCTGGGAGTTGGCGGCCAGAAACATCTGGGGACCCCAGGTTGAGAACCACTGGTCTACAGACATCACATGCATCTCCTGGAACGATTCCATCAGCGCTGCCTCCGAAAAATCCTGCAAATCTCTTGGGAAGACAGGCGGACATATGTCAGTGTGCTGTAAGAAGCAAAGACCACCAGCATTGAAGCGATGGTCCTCTGCCATCAACTTCGCTGGAGTGGCCATGTTGTCTGAATACCCGATCACCATCTCGCAAAGCAGTTACTTTATTCCAAACTCAAGAACAGAAAACTAAATGTTGGTGGACAGGAAAAGAGATTTAAAGATGGGTTCAAAGCCAACCTCAAAAATTGTGGCATAGACACAGAACTGGGAATCCCTGGCCCTTGAGCACTCTAACTGGAGGTCAGCTGTGTCCAGCATTGCTGCGGAATTCAAAGAGGCATGAATGGAGGGCGAAAGGGAGAAATGTGCCAAGAAGAAGGCACGTCAAGCCAACCCTGACTGGGACCACCTTCCATCTGGAAACCGATGTCCTCACTGCGGAAGAAGATGCAGATCAAGAATAGGACTCCACAATCACCTACGGAGCCACCACCAAAACGTTAGGATCATCAACCTCGAACTACAAGGAATCGCCTAAGTAAAGTGACCTAACTGTCCACTGATAATATTCCACATTAGCAACATTAGATATTAGGGCTGGGCGGTTTCGTTCGTTAATTTCGTAATTCGTTATTAATTCGTATTTAAATTAGCTTACGATCCGATATTGAGCCATGCAGGAATAGTGTGAGGAGTAAATTAGATGCAAAACAATTTTTTCAATTTATTTCGTTACTGTTTCGTTATTATTTCGAAATTATTTCGTAATTATTTTGTAATTATTTCGTAATTATTTTGGCATGTCTGGTGCAAGTTTTATAGTTGTTGTGTGTTTTATCACACCAACAGTCAACAACAGAGGGAGAGGGAAGCTTCAGAAGTTCCCCCGTCCCATTTGGAGGTTTTTTTTAGCATATTGCGCAATCGCGTCCGCCATTAACGAATCGATTCGAAATTAACGAAATTTTGTAAATAACGAAATTTTGAAATCTCAAAATTTCAGAAGTATTTAGAATTTGGAAACGCTAGCGCCCCCTGGAAACGAATCGAGTTTAGAAACAATTTTTTCCGTGGTTACCCAGCCCTATTAGATATGGCTTCCCATGTTTCTTTGAACCCTAATGGAGACGTGTATGGGATATGCAGTGTTGACTTCAGCATAAGATGCAAGAAGTCTGAATGTGGGAAAAAGCAGATTTTGTGTGCCATCCCTAAGCGTAGTTCTCCATGGGTAGCTGGCAGAGTCAGCAGCATTTAAGCACTTTGTGGTCGGGATAATGCTTGTACTTTGATGCCTTCCTCTTCCGTCAACTGTTGATTGTGTTTTGTGCTGGAGGAGACTTTTGATAGCTTTCCAAAACTGTTGACAACATCCAAATTCTTGGACTAACATGGAAAGAAATATTTGCATTGTATGCTTTGGTCCTGTAGATCAGATTCCCACATCTAATGTTCTCCCCTGCATCTCTAAACAATGCTCCTCTAAACAAAGCATGGAGATGATTCTGGAGCAAATCCATTTTTGGTCCTTCCAGAGATCAGTCATGGATCAAAACCATGCTATGAGAGCTTCAACTGGAAATTGATTTGCTGTTTCCCACTCTCTAACTCATCCAAAAGGGATCTAGAGAAGGTCTGTGTTACATTGATTTCTGCAAACATTTTGGATTCAGGGTAGAAATTGGCTTTAATTGCAGCTTTTGTTCTCCTTATCTGGCATATCGCTTTGTTTCCTTAAATTACCGTGACGGGAACAAGTCAACTTAGCAACAAATGTGCTTCCCCATCTAACATCAAAGCATGTTGTGTTGTGTTGCTGGGAATCAGATAAAGAAATTAACATTTCGGTAGGTGTGTGTCACTGAAACTTATTTGGGATCCCATATTGGGATGTCCTATACCACATCCTTCCTGACGAAGGTGACAAGATTTCGGGAAATTGCGTTGGCTTCTTCTGGAATGTCCATCCGAAAATGCCCCTCATTGGGGGAGAAATGTATAGAATCATAGCATCGGAAGAGGCCACATGGGCCATCTAATCCAACCCCCTGCTATGAAGGAAAGCACAATCAAAGTACCCCTGACAGATGGCCATCCAGCTTTGGTCTAAAATCGTCCAAAGAAGGAGCCTCCACCACATTCCAAGGCAGAGTTCTACTGTTGAACAGCTCTTACAGTCAGTAATGTTCAAGTGGTATCTCCTTTCCTGTAATTTGAACCCATTGCTCCAAGTTATAGTCTCCAGGGCTCCGTTGGAGCCAGTACAACACAGGATTCCTCCTAGGGATCCCACTACTTCCACTCCAGTTTGGGATGGGGCTTCAACAGGAAGTCCAGCAATGTCATGTGATGGGCAGTGTGTCCATCTGTTTTTGGACTGTCCCTTTAGTGCCCTAGGATGCTAAAAAAAAGGTGTGATAATAAATTGTGGCAAGTCCTTGGTGGGATGGGCATCCCAAGCCCCCTTCCCTCTCTCCTGAGGAAATCTGTACAAGGACCAAGTAGCAACAGTCAGAACTGACCACGGAACAACAGACTGGTTCAAGATTGGGAAAGGCGTCCGGCAGGGCTGCATACTCTCACCCAACCTTTTTAACGTGTATGCAGAACATATCATGCGAGGATGTGCGGGGATTGAGGAATGCAAAGCTGGGGTGAAAATGGCTGGAAGAAACATGAACAACCTCAGATATGCAGATGACACCACTCTGATGGCCGAAAGCGAGGAGGAGCTGAGGAGCCTTCTAATCAAGGTGAAAGAAGAAAGCACAAAAGCCGGGTTGCAGCTAAACATCAAAAAAACCAAGATTATGGCAACAAGAATGATTGACAACTGGGAAATAGAGGGAGAAAATGTGGAGGCCGTGACAGACTTTGTATTTCTAGGCGCAAAGATTACTGCAGACGCAGACTGTGGCCAGGAAATCAGGAGATGCTTCCTTCTTGGGAGGAGAGCAATGTCCAGTCTCGATAAAATAGTCAAGAGTAGAGACATCAGACTGGCAACCAAGATCCATTGCCTAGTCAAAGCCATGGTCTTCCCTGTAGAAACATCTATGGATGTGGGAGCTGGGCCTTAGGGAAGGCTGAGCGAAGGAAGAGAGATGCTTTTGAGCTGTAGTGTTGGAGGAAAGTTCTGAGAGTGCCTTGGACTGCGAGAAGATCCAACCAGTCCATCCTCCAGGAAATAAAGCCCGACTGCTCATTGGAGGGAAGGAGACTAGAGACAAAGTTGAAGTCCTTTGGCCACATCATGAGGAGACAGCAAAGCCTAGAGAAGGGAATGATGCTGTGGAAAGTGGAAGGCAAAAGGAAGAGGGGCCGACCAAGGGCAAGATGGATGGATGGCATCCTTGAAGTGACTGGACTAACCTTGAAGGAGCTGGGGGTGGTGACGGCTGACAGGGAGCTCTGGCGTGGGCTGGTCCATGAGGTCACGAAGAGTTGGAGACGACTGAACGAATGAACATCAACAACATTATGAGGTCTTTGCTTTCGCCTTTCCTCTGTATCTCAAACTTCAGAAGCATATGGTCACTCCCACCTAAGGATCCCACCACTTCCACTCCATTGAGCAGGTCCTCAGTGTTATTTATTTTTATTTGTTTACAGCTTTTACACATATATGGCAAACATTCAATGCCAATTTTTGATATACAAACATATACAGACATACACAGAGGCTATTTAACTTTTTTCTGGCCGCCGGGGAGCTGTCGCTTTCATTGTCCATCTGCGACCTCAGAGGCGGCCCTAGGTAATTTTCAACGGTAAGCAAACAGTATTTTGCTCCCCCCCCCCCAACCAATCATTGATATATATTTTCTGTTTATCGTGGGAGTTCTGTGTGCCATATTTGGTTCAATTCCATCATTGGTGGAGTTCAGAATGCTCTTTGATTGTAGGTGAACTATACATCCCAGTAACTACACTTGCCGCACTTGCTCCCTTGCCTGGCCCGCTTTGGTTCCGGAGGCGTGCCTGAAGACCCCGGCGTGTGCACCAAAAGTCACCTCTTCTCCTGACTTTCTCCTCAGCCATTGGGACAGAGAGAGAAAGAGAAAGAGAGAGAGAGAGAGAGAGAGAGAGAGAGGTGGAGATGCCCACCTTTCCTGAAGGTAGGCGCAAAAGCAAAGGAGGGAGCGGAGGTGGGAGATACCTCCAGCCGGAGGGGCTCTCTCTCTCTCTCTCTCTCTCTTGGTCCCAATGGCTGAAGAGAAAGTCAGGAGAAGAGGCGACTTTTGGTGCGCACGCTGGGGTCTTCAGACACGCCTCCGGACCCGAAGCGAGGCGCAGCGGCTCCACCCCTTGGCCCACCCATGGATTGGGGAGAGGAGAGGAGGCGGGTGGAGCGCCGGGAGTCGGTCATGGGGAAGGGATCGAACGCGGAGAACGATTGAGCGCCGGCTCTGCTCGCGCACCCGGTGGCCAGGTGGAGCAGGAACGAGAGGGGCGAGGCGAGGCTCAAGGGCCCGGCCCCTTTGGGAAGAGGATCGCCCGGCAGCGAGGCAAGAAAGCCGAGGCTCCCCCCGGACTGCTAGGGCTGTTGTGAGCTGAGGGGGCGCTCCTCAAGTGGCGGTCGAGGGGCATTTACAGAGGCGCCTCTGCACCCCTGGCAAAAAAAAGTGTTCTGCGACCGCTTACTTTGCGTAATGGATGAGCCGCCCCTGGACACTGATGAAGCACTTCCGCATTCCCCGCATGCTTCCCCGCTGGAATGCTTTGCTGGAGTCTTCTTTATGGCCTCATAAATCAGTTAATTTAGCCTCCCCACACTTTTTAAGGTGGTACCTAATTTTCCTACTTGACAGATGCAACTGTCTTTCAGGTTGTAAAGGTCGACAACACAATTGGTTGGAAACCCACTCCAATCCGGGCTGGCTTTGAACTCATGATCTTTTGGTCAGAGTGGTCTTAATGCAGCTGACACTCATCCAGCTGTGCCACAATCCCGATGCTTCAAAGTATATTCATTCCCCGGACTACTGGATTAATTCTCCCAACTCCTTGACTACGGTCTCCGTTTTGGTTAGAAGATTTCACTATGGGGAACACCCCCCCCCCCCATTTATCCTGTTTGGGGATGTTGAGACACAAAGATTTCTAGCCTTTCAAGGATACCCCTGAATACCATTCCTACGGGAAAGGAAGAAAGAAAACCAAATCGTACACAGAGACGGCTTCGGAATAATCTGAAGATCTGGCAAAATATTAATTATTTCCTTCGTTTGTTGTGAGTCATCAAGATAAATGGGTGTCATGATGCATATGCAAAAATTTTGATAGGAGCTTATTACCACCTCAGGACACAACGGGCGTTTCCACGCGGCAGCTCATTCTGGGAAAATGGTATAAAAGCACCTCCACGACGAGCTCTCTCTACAGCTTCACCTCACAACCACTCGCAGGTTCAACTTGTCTTCCTCCAAAGAGCAGGTAAGCTCATTGTAAGCCTAGCGCTATGTGCAAATATATCAGAAATCCTTTATTGTTTTGGGAAAGCATGGAAAATGCAGTAATTGAAAATTATGTTTCCAGTTTCTCCAAGTGTTTCAGTAGGTGGCAGTATCATAGCTTCTTTCTCCTTCTGTTGACCTTCCTCTTAACTAAGGAGTTAGCAATTGTTTAGACTGGTTTCGATGCTAACTAGTGACACAATTCCATGGCTGTGTTGGTCTTTTGTGTGTTTTCATGTATTGCATTTGCGTTAATTCCCAGAATCATAGCCTCACGTAGGTCCCCAGCTTTTGGAGAAATATATATTGAGACCTTCCTAATGATCTTTTGCAGAGAATAAAACAACTGGGTGTCATGATCTTATTTCCTGGCTTGGTGTGAATCCAGGAAATAAGGCCATGACATAGACATTTCCTGTTTATATTTGACATCTGGGAAAGGCTTGCCATGGAAATGGGAGCAGGGAAATAAACTGTCAGTTGGAACTTTGGTGTGAGGGAAATAAACCGTCAGTTGGAACTTTGTTGTGTTCACTACTACATGCTTTTGAATTAAAGCCTCCCAACTTTGTTGGAAGATCTGGACACTGGAGTTCTACTAGGGACAGATGCTTTGGGAGTGATTTCAAAGCACACCAAACCAGGAAATAAGGCCATGACATAGACATTTCCTGTGTATGTTTGACATCTGGGAAAGGCTTGCCATGGAAATGGGAGCAGGGAAATAAACTGTCAGTTGGGACTTTGTTGCGTTCGCTACTACATGCTTTTGAATTAAAGCCTTCCAACTTTGTTGGAAGATCTGGATACTGGAGTTCTACTAGGGACAGATGCTTTGGGAGTGATTTCAAAGGTCCATTTAGATAGCACAGTTCAAATCCATGCATTTGTAGGGACTGGGATGAAATGAAGGAAATCTGTTGGCTCCATTACTGGTTTGTACTGGTAGTTTTCTTCTGCTTAGCATGTCTCATGATCCCTCTCCATTTTTTTTCAGACTTCCATCTCTCATCAGAATGGCCTACTGTGGACCTGCCTCTGCTGTCCCATCCTGCGAAGCCGCTCCAGTCGTTGGCTTTGGATCCGGAGGCTCCAGAGGCTTTGGCAGAAGCCTTGGTTCTGGCATTGGCTTTGGTTCTAGCTCTGGCTTTGGTTCCGGCTATGGCCTTGGGGGCAACATTGCAGATGCAGCCAGTCTGGGAGTGCTCTCCGGCGTGCATCCATCCTGCATCAACCAGCTTCCCCCAGCAGAACTTGTGATCGACCCAGCACCATTTGCGATCGTTGTCCCAGGTCCCATCATCTCTGCCACCCCTGAGCCTCTTCTCGTTGGAGGCCACACCCCATGTGCTGTTAGTGGAGTTGGCATCAGTGGATTTGGTAGTGGATTAGGTAGTGGATTTGGTAGTGGATTTGGTAGTGGATTTGGTAGTGGATTAGGTAGTGGATACTATGGTAGTCGTTATGGGGGTCATCTTGGGGGTCGCCGTGGATCCCTGGTGAGGAAAGGCTCCATCTGTTCATAAGTTCTCCCCTGCTCATAAGTTCTCATGGACGTTTGGCCAGAAAATGGAATGATGGAATATCTCACAACGGAGCACCCAAGCCTGAGCTGAGCTGAGCACCTTCTTGCTGGATGAAGTCCGTGGAAGCTGGGAGAGTGTTCAGCACCAGTGGAAACCAGGCCCATGCATCTCTTTCGCCATCCTGCTTTCCTTCTAAATGTATCTGTTCCTTCTATTTATGTTCTTCTCTGTATTTGACCTTCTTGCTGAGCACACCATAGGATTCCTGAACCACTCCAGTGAGTGTAGTACTGAATAGGATGCTAGAACTTGAATGGAGAAGCTGTTTCTTCACCTGTATTCCTTATGATTTGTCCTTTACTGAACTGTTGTGTTCCTTTTGGATTTGCCAACTTTCAATCTTGAATAAAGCTGATTCTGCATGATAACTTTGGTCTTCTGATCTTGTTATGGTGTGTGTCTGAACCATCCCTGTGAATTGGACTATGAGTGGGGCAGCCCTACCATTAGCCAGAATGGGGACCTTTTTTAAGTTACTAGGTGCTGGATGTCACCATGCCAGGGCTCTGCCATTATTTCCAGCAGAGGTGAATCAAACAAACATTCAGTTTGTGTTAAACAGTTTAATTAAAACAGCACTTCCTTTCTGGCTGTTTTAATAGTCCAAAATATAAAACATAAAGATAGCAGCCACAGAATAAACAAAAACTGATAGCGAAAGCTGCACCATAGTCAAAGGGTCAAGTCCAGTGGTCAAATGCCGAGAAGTCAATGAGCAAAGTCCAGGGATCAAGGGTCTATACCGCAGTCCAAAGCCAGTCCAAAGATTCAAGGTTCCAGGGTTCCAACAGGAGACAGGATACCGAAAATCCACAAACCTGGGGGCAAACCAGCAGCATCTACCACCAAAATAAAACAAATACTTTTCTCCCGAAAATCGGTCCCAAGGCTAGCTCCTTATATCCAGAAACACCCAGCTGCAACCCATCTCTTGCACACCTCCACCCTTATTTGCTTTTACCCATGAACTCTTACTTACAGATTACTCAACCCTTTAGAACTAAGACTTACATTAACCCTCCCATCACCAACTGCTAGGCCTGCCACCACCAACCACCATCAACTGCAGAACATGATGCATGGCTGTTGAGATTAACTTCACAATTCAGCAGCAGATCAGTTGCACAACTTCAGCGCTTTCCAGTAGCTTCTTCCTGCACAGTATTTTCAGTCAACTGCTTCCACAGCTTGCAGCCACGCTGGAACCTTTTACAGACACTTGAGCACATGCCTGGCCATTGTCAGTTTTACCATTGTCTTTCCCCCAGTCTAGATGATATTACAGACTTACCACAGCACACGGTTATATCTTGTCTTAGCAGAGAGGTTCTTTTAATTACATATAGCCTTTGATGAACAACATCACAGCACAAGGAGAAATACACACTGTACATGACTTCCTTATATACAATTCATTTACACATAGCAATCACCGATTCGTTCCCAACTCATTGACTTAATTCAAACCCAGGATTACATCATTCACAATCACCTGGACTAGGCCAGAACACATTCCCCAAATGATTCCCTATATACAATTAATGCATGACTCAGCATTCCCAATAGAAGCCTATTAGCAGTGCATGGCTCAGTTATATTACATTGCAATACATTGTAAAACCTGACAATGGCACTGGAAGGCAAACCTCCTGGCACTCCCACCTTCAATTTTAGTATAGAGTAGTGTGTAAAACACATGATATACTTGAGCCCCCTAAAATATACCAGCCGGGTGTCAAATAACATGTTATTCCATCTTGTTATAGGCATGGAATAGAGAAGGGCTGTTGTCTTGTCCTCTTCTCCACATGTATTGGGTGGATCCTGGGACCCTTTGGAAGACACTTGGACTTGCAAAAGTGTTCCCCTCGAAGTTGGAAATCTAAAAGGACACTTGGAAGGAGAACCTCATAAGCCCCAGCTTGCAAAATTCATTCGAAGTCACAAAAAACTATTCGTGGTGAATTAAATTATTTAGTACTGAAAAAAAAAATAACTTCTTCCGAGACAAATTCATTGCAATCCTGATGAACCTTTTCTGCTTATAGTCTGGAGGAGATACAAACACATTCTACCAAGTTGTTGCAAAATAGAACCGCTATAATATAAAGAGGCCAGTAGATGGTGCCTGTGCCTCAGTAATGCCACTGCTTTCTTATTTATAGCATCTACACCAGTGTTTCTCAACCTGGGGTTTGGGACGGGGGTGGGGGGTCACAAGGGGGTGTCAGAAGGGTTGCCAAAGACCATCAGAAAACACGGTATTTTCTGTTGGTTATGGGGATTCTGTGTGGGAAGTTTGGCCGAATTATATCATTGGTGAGGTTCAGAATGCTCTTTGATTGCAGGTGAACTGTAAATCCCAGGAACTACAACTCCCTAATGTCAAGGTCTATTTTCCCCAAACTCCACCAGTGTCCACATGTGGACATATTGAGTATTCATGTCAAGTTTGGTCCAGATCCATCATTGTTTGAGTCCACAGTGCTCTCTGGATGTAGGTGCACTACAACTCCCAAACTCAAGTTCAATGCCCACCAAACCCTTACAGTATTTTCTGTTTGTTGTGGGAGTTCTGTGTGCCAAGTTTGGTTCAATTCCATTGTTGGTGGAGTTCAGAATGCTCTTTGGTTGTAGGTGAATTAGAAATCCCACCAACTACAACTCCCAAATGACATCATCATCATCATAATTATAACTAGCGGTCCCCTGCCACGTGGTGCTGTGCCCACATGGGGGTTCTGTGTAGGAGGTTTGGCCCCATTCTATCGTTGATGGGGTTCAGAATGCTCTTTGATTGTCGGTGAACTATAAATCCCAGCAACTACAACTCCCAAATGACAAAATCATTTTTTTTGAGTGAAGGACATAGATTGGGTTGTTTGGTGTCTTGTGTCCAAATTTGGTGTCAATTCATCCAGTGGTTTTTGAGTTCTGTTAATCCCACAAACGAACATTACATTTTTATTTATATAGACTAGCCATCCCCTGCCATGCATTGCTGTGGGGCCCTCATGGGGGTTTCTGTGTGGGAGGTTTGGCCCAATTCTATCATTGGTGGGGTTCAGAATGCTCTGTGATTGTAGGTGAACTATCAATCCCAGCAACTACAACTCCCAAATGTCAAGATTCTATTTTCCCCAAATTCCACCCGTGTTCACATTTGGGCATATTGAGTATTTGTATTGAGTTTGGTCCAGATCCATCATTGTTTGAGTCCATAGTGCTCTCTGGATGTAGGTGAACTATAAATCCCAGCAACTACAACTCCCAAATGTCAAGATTCTATTTTCCCCAAATTCCACCAGTGTTCACATTTGGGCATATTGAGTATTTGTGTTGAGTTTGGTCCAGATCCATCATTGTTTGAGTCCATAGTGCTCTCTGGATGAACTATAGGTGAACTATAAATCCCAGCAACTACAACTCCCAAATGTCAAGATTCTATTTTCCCCAAATTCCACCAGTGTTCACATTTGGGCATATTGAGTATTTGTGTTGAGTTTGGTCCAGATACATCATTGTTTGAGTCCACAATGACATCTGGATGTAGGTGAACTACAACTCCAAAACCAAAGGACACTGCTCACCAAACCCTTCCAGTATTTTCTGTTGGTCGTGGGAGAACTGTGTGCCAAGTTTGGTTCAGTTCCATCATTGGTGGGGTTCAGAATGCTCTTTGATTGTCGGTAAACTATAAATCCTAACAACTACAACTCCCAAAAGACAAAATCAATTTTTTTTAGTGAAAGACATACATTGGGTTGTTGGGTGTCTTGTGTCCAAATTTGGTGTCAATTCGTCCAGTGGTTTTTGAGTTCTGTGAATCCCACAAACGAACATTACATTGTTATTTATATAGATTATTATTATTATTATTATTATTATTATTATTATTATTAATTATTTCTAAGTAAGGTGGAATTGGACTCTTTGATACACAAAGAAAATTAGCACTCAAATATTATGATGCAAGAGTGAGATTTATTAGGAAATAAAGAGATTTCAAAAGAAAAGATTCTGTGCAGCAAAGAAATACCGTATAGGAAAAGCTGTAGAGTGATGAGAAACCTCAAGCTTTCAGGATCTCGAACCACCCATACATAGCTCTCTTAAGCTTGACATAGCATTTCAGATGTTTGATTTTCAGACCTACGTCCTCAAGCACAGATTCAAGAGATGAATAGAAGAAGATTGAGAGAGATGTGGACCTGAGTTTCCACATGCTGAGGTCACTTTGTAGTTCCAACACGTTGAGTGAAGGTATAGGTCACTCACAACCCATGGAAACCCAAGTCTGAATCATTGACTTCGGATATCTCAGGTAGTCCTTTCCTTCTTCATGTTCCAGTTTAGACAGTCCTTCAGGATCTAGCAAGGGAGACACCGCATGCCACCGCATCCCATGGAAGAAGATCCGAGACGGCCACCAAATCCACCTCCGCCAGAAGAAGTGGCACCTCCAACGTAAATGGGCTCACAGCTGGAAGACACGATGGGTCCTGGGACAACCATGACGAAAGGAGCTGGTTGGATCACAAGTTCTGAGGATGGGAGCTGGCTGATGGGTTGAGGAGTGACTCCAGCCACAGTCCCAAGCTGGCTAGTAGATATGCTTCTTCCACCGCCGGAAGTCCCGCCAGTCCCGCCAAGGCCATACATTGGCATGGAGGAGCATGATGGGATAGTGCAGGATGGTGGACAACAAGGTGGTGGGCAGCAAGACATGTCGGAGTGGTGGGAGAGAGTCTGCAAGAAACAAGAAAATGGGAGGAGATTAGCATACAACATTGTTGTGCCACCTCTACAAAGTTCTGGAGAGACTTATTTTGCATAGAATTATGGAAAAATAGACCCCTGTCTGATTCCACAGCTAGCAGGCTTCAGGAAAGGTAGAAGCTGCACATCGCAAGTGCTGAACCTGACGTAGCACACAGAAG